TATGTTCTTCTTTTTATCCAGTATCAGCGAGTCTCGTTTGTAAAAGAATATTGAGGGCTCCGTGTTACGTAAAATAAACTGTTTTTTAGCGATTCGTTTCGAGGATTAACGCTCCGTTAGTCACGACGGATAAAACGACGGGCGGCTCCGCCACGACGAAATTCCTGAAAGAAGTCCTCAGGGCGGACTCAAAGCGAGCGACTCTGTCGCTCCTCGTCGAGGCTCTCTCCTCCATTATTTTCTCCCCTCTGTCTTCCCCGTCATCTCTCTTTTACCGCCTGTGCCTCTCTTACCCCCGACCTCTTTACGCGTTACCTCGCTCGCGAAAGTTTCGATCTTGGGTGCTTCACCCCTTTTAATACGATTACCAGCCGATGCGAGTTCGCGTCGCGCTCTACGTCGTCTTTGCAAAGCCTGCAGCATCCTCCCCAATGGCAAAGGCGCCCTAGAATTCATTTCGGTTATGGGGCAATTCCACGAGTCGTTGGCAATTTACGAAAACTTGCCGCTTTCCACGGCGGAACCGACCGATCCACGATGTAGACCAGATAAAAAGCGGTACGGAAGCATTTGCGAGCACTCCCTTTAAATTGCTCGCCGTATTTATGTGCATACTGATGTACATATATCTCCGCATATAGAGTGATTCTCGAAGATTTTGAACTGCCTTAAGGTAATCATAAAGTTTGATATTCTTTCGATTTAATCTATCTACGGAGAAAAACTCGACATATTATATTCTCCTGAGCACATTTTATACATTTAATGCTCAATATACTAAAAAGATATATTTTTAAACTTTTAATATTGCTTTTAGATAAATTTATAATAATTTAAAAAAGATATTATTGAGATGATTGTAGATACAATAATAATAATCAAATTTAAAGAAAATACAACACAAATACAAATCATCTCACAAAGAGAGATAAATAATAGATAAATAATTTTTATATTTCTGCAAGATTACTTTATTATATTTAAGTTTGATACTTATCACGTATGATTTTTATAATCGCAAAAAACTGCATTCGACTCGGAAATCGATCGAGAATTATATAAAATTATTTCGTAAACAATTAATTGCAAATTATTTCCGGATCTTATCGTTCAACTGTGAGTTTTTTATCGTTATTTTTAGAAATCCGTAAAAATCGCAAAATCGTCTTACAAAGATCCCAACACAGCAACAGAGATGTCGAAATAGTACAAGATTACGGATTTCTTTACAATGTCTCGTGCGATAGTATAAGATGGATAAGTTTGATTGTTGGCGGTTGCAATTTGCGCGAAACACCAAAACTGTACGCACGAAAATACGCTCGAGATCCGCGCACGCCGTTCAAAAAGCTAGGCGAGAGAAAAGTTTTTATTTCAGCGTTTGCGAAATCGAATTCTTCTCGTCGACTTTCTCTCCTCATCCGCACTCGCGCCATCAGCCCGACGACACACCATCGTTCTCCGTCTCGTCGTCTTTGCCATCCTGAGTGCCGTAAAACAATGTCGACGTATGAATCCGCGAAAGAGGTTTACGAACTTCTGAGCGCGCACGAAAGTGCGTTATTCGTGACGAATGGAAACGTGTCAAGGCGCATCGCGCAATATTTTGTCGCGTAACCTTTCTGATTTATAGGACGTATTTTTAAGAGTTTATAAGCCTTTTGATTTACCGGGGGAACAGATTTATTCGTACGTCGGATGATTAAAAATTAAATTCTTACGAGTATCTATAATTACTTTTCTGTGACTTCGATATCTGTTTTTTGCATTTTGTTATAAAATATTTCAAACTAGATGAAATACATATTTTTTTTTCATATAACTTATTTAGGTTAAAAAAATGTTACTTTCAAATTTTAACTTAATTAATTTTTCGCTAAAATCAGAATACTACCAAAAATCGTAGAAAATATTATATAATTCTTACAAATTCTACATATGTATAATTTTATGATTCGTACATGTATGTAAATACAAAAATATCGGATGGGTTTACAAGCGAAATCGTGCTTAAATTATAACTGCATTGAATTTCACGAATGGTAATCGATTTAACACATATATTTGTCGTTTTAATTAGCAAAATCTATTAATTATTCATGTTATATAGTCGACCTTATTGGGCGAAAAGAAGAATTCGCAGGTGCATGTTTTGGTTTCCTTGAAGACAGGTTTAGTGAAAGTAGAGAAACACGAAAGTTTACGATGTGTCTACCGGATTTTAATCTGAATAGGGAAGATCCAACGTTCAATGACCAGAATTTCCGCTAATTTTAATTTAAAATAGTAGACTTATGGACATTTCGTAACAAACGATATTTTTTTATCACATTTAAAAATTAAAAAGTATAATTAATTATACTTTTGGAATGTTCAATATTAAATCTATTGATAAATAAGTTGATAGATCACACAAATTAAACTTATTTTCAATTAAAGTAAATTGCAAATCATATAAACACGATTTCGTTATGTATTTATACTTCTAATTTATAGAAAAACTTTTTAATTCCAAATGTTTAGTAAATTATGTTTCGGACAATGGTATAGGAAGAATTGTCTCAATAGTCCACAAAAACGACGTCGCACAATGCGTAGAGAAAGGAACAAAATTTTTTCTACGTTGTATCGTTGCCAGTGCATGTATTAACTTCCAGATAGTAACGGTAAATGCAAAAGGGAACTTGTTCACGAGAGTAACAAGGGCCGCAGGACCGCAAATTTTTCCATAAAGCTGTCGACACGCATTCCTTCCGCGGTCGCTTCCGAAGTTCGCGCTCGTGGGAGCGGTCGTGAGGAAAAAGGAAGGCAACAAAGGCACAGTATTTATAAAGAATCCTAACGACTCCGTAATTAGTGTAATTACAGAGCCGTGTCTTGCGCGGTCTTAATGCTCGCGTCACTCGAAACGCGCTCTCTCCGTAATTCCTTCTAATGTATCTGCCGGCGAAAAAGGGCGGCCAGGTCCCGGCCTCAACCAGGGGTGGAAAGAGACCTCCGACACTACGACAGTGCGACTGCAGTATCTAGATCGAAGCTGTTCTCCGCTTGCGAACGAGCAGGATCCTCCTCGACGATTGCCAGCCGAGAACGGATTACCTCTAATCTCTGACATTAGCTCCCGCTCTGCATCGACCGTCCTTCGCGCTCTTACAGGAATATGTCTCCATTTACTTTCTGTTCTTTTTCTCGGCACCTCGCTCGTGAATACCCGAATAAAAAGGATGACGCGGATAAATCTTGACGGCGCCTGCTAGCGGACTCTCAGTGGAAATCCTTTGGAAACTGCTAATTATGAGAGGGCGCCTGGCCAGCAGCTAAATACGCGCCTTACCCCTTCAAACGTGATAGCCCGTTTGAATCGCATAGCTTTAAGAGGAAACTCGTTCTTCTGCGCCCATGCTATTTCTTTGAGTACAATTGACACTTGTAGTAATGATATTGCTTGAAGCGAAAATCAAACGCCGTATTTGTTAATCAGTTTTTAGAGATGCAATTAAATTAGTTTTATTTAATTTCCTTTTTCAGTCATGTTAAATAGCAGTAAGATTTTATAATTGATAGATTTTAATATGCGACAGTCATAATATTAAAATAGCATTGTCTATTAAAAATTATAAACAATAATCTTAAGATTGTTTCTGTCGCAAAAGACATTTACCTTTACTCTATTTTTACTATAAGGAATATATATAGAAAATAAATTATAAGACAAGAAGAGAGATGTATTATGCACTCTGCAATAATGAAGACTTAAGTTTAAATCACGTATGCTTTGTAGGAATATTGAATCATTGTGTGGTGAGTCCAATTAATTCTCAAGTAAGGAAATTAGGACTATGACTGTGAAACGGAGCGCGGTTCTCGCAACGCGCTCAACGAGACGTTGCTAATTGTCGCCGTATGGTTACCGATTTATTGCCCTAGACTAGCGCACTGCTCCGACGTCTAAACTGTAAGTAAAAGGGCAATTACCAGTTGACCGCAACAAATAAAGCAACTAGAAAGATATTAACGCAGGTGTATCAGTTATAGTATTAGGTAACGCATCTCCTATTCCTGTCCCATCGCGGATTATATATAGATTGTCATTAAAGAACTTTGCGACAAATTTGACTTTCTTTTTGCGAAATAGTAGAAAGTAAGACCCAATTAAAAGCATTACTTTTTCATCATATTTACAAAGACTTTTACGTTTTATTTTTTAATGCCATGCATCATACGTTTAATTTAAGGATAAAATAATTTAAAGATCATGTATTGATTAAATGTAAACTTGTTCCTATTATTATTCTATTATATTCATATATTTTATTAATTTCTAAAATCCTAAATAATTAAAAAATGTAACAGTCTTATTTATTCTTTTTTCTTATTGAAGATATAGTAATCAATAATCTAGAGCATGCTTGTGAAGCATATTTGCATTCTATATGTGTATGGACTGTTATATGTCGGACGTTGAAAACAATCGTGTGACATGGAAATGACATTTCCATGAATCCAGATACCAGAAAAAAATATCGTTCGTGATAGTGACTTTACAAGTGCAGTCCAATTAAAAAAGAAAAAAACTTTATATGACGGCCAACAATGGAAACAATAAATCTTTTCACTTGCATCATGTTAACAAACATACAGACAAGAGCGAGTGTTATTTAAACTTTAGCATGTGCATAAAATTCTGTTTTCATTTTTGAAAATTTCTTCGATCTTGATTTCTATATATATATTATACAAATATAAATCACATTTTAGATAACATTTTCACATACTTTAACATATTTAAATTATATATTTAAACATACTAAACGTTCCAAAGAAATCTGTTAATTAAATAAATCTTATAGTATAATAACTTATGTTATAAATCTTATAGTATAATAACTTATGTTATAAATCTTATAATATAATAACTTATGTTGATAGCAAGTAATTTATGAATATTCTTCTTCTCAATTTTTATTTAGCAAATCACTTCTCAAGCATCTTCTTTGCCTGATCAATTACGTCACTGAGGAAGTTTGGGAGTTTCAGAATATGATGAGTCTAGATCAGAGGGCGTGTTGCAGTGGATATCTAGTGAAAGTAGTTATATCGTCTGGCATCACCATATAAAAACCGACGATTCGATGATATGAAGCACATTCAGACTCATCTCCTCATAGCACGTTCAACATGAGGACATTCTTAGTGAGTAGTAAAATTTTTCGTCAAATTTCTTTTTTATATCTTATATCTGAATAATCGTAAGTGCAACATAAGGAAATAAAGTTTTATTATTCGTCATAAGTATTTTAAATAAAGATGTGCAGTTCTTCAATTTAATCAGTAATTTATTATTAGTGAACACAAATTTGTTTCATGATTTATCCTATAACATAATTATTTAATTTTTTATTGGAACATTAAAATTAAAATGTAGTTTTGTTTTTACATTATATTTATTTAAAATATTAAATTTTTCATTAATTACTTGTCATTCTATCTTGATAAAAGAGAAACAATTAGCGACACAAATTTTCAATGCACCGCATTACAAAAAAATACAATTTTTTTTGATAATTAATTGATATTAATGACAAATTATTGCTTTCAGATTTCATTATTAATCGTCTCGGTCATCGCCGGCGATGCATCGGAGAAGAAACATGATAAACGTGGTCTTCTACACGGAGGATACGGAAGCTATGGTCCAAACATTGGCCATGGTGGCATCGTATTGCAGGAACACGGATATGGACATGGATATGGCCACGGATATGGGCACGGATCTGGATACGGACACGGATATGGATATGGGCATGGAGGATATGGGCACGGAGGATTTGGTCATGGATTCATAGACGGAGTGTCACACGGTCACGGAATATACGGACCAGGCATTTCTGTGGGACATGGACCAGGCATTATTGTGGGACATGGACCAGGCATTGCTGTGGGACATGGACCAGGAATTGCTGTGGGACACGGACCAGTACACCACGTTCACAGAATCGTCGTGAATCGCGTGGTTCCAGTTCCAGTTCCCGTACCTCATCCCGTTCCCGTCACTCGCAAGGTTCCTGTACCGGTGCCGCATCCTGTACCCGTCGAAGTGAAACGTCCAGTCCCCGTTCCTGTACCTCGACCCGTTCCGGTTGTAGTCAACAAACCTTACCCTGTTAGCGTACCTCGTCCAGTTCCAGTACCGGTACCCCATGCCGTGCACGTACCGCAACCGGTGCCGCATCCAGTTCCAGTTCCACATCCAGTCCCGGTACCAATTCACACACCGGCCCCAGTACCAATTCCGCAACCCCTACCGATCAACCCTGAACCGTATCCGTTGCCCGTTCAACCAATTGGTCCCATCTCTTCTATCCAATCTATCGCTTCTTCCCAACCAATCACTTCCATCGGAATTGGATCGATCGAGGCGGGAGCTGGAGCAATATTGGAAGGCGGACAAAATACTGGATTTGCCATTTCCGGTGGCATTGTAAATGGTGGTGAACAGTTCGGCGCTGTAAGCTCGGGACTGCAAGTGAGTGTGGACTCTGGTAGCGAGGGATATTCTTATCCAGTACCAGAGAAGAAATTCTTTTAAATCCCAAGAATTTGATGGAATCCGTTACGGGCGACATCTCCGATTTGCACGCCGACACGATACATCTGCGGTTTTCGAGACTTTCGGATATACGGCACGCGGCTATCCCGAGTCACGCCACACCCATTTATCCTGCGTTTCACTTGATATTTATGGATTCTCACACAACGAAAGCACCGCGCGCGAGATCGTGACCTCGATTAAAATTCCGCCTAAAACCGTAAAACGAAAGGGATCGAGGTACATAGATAGATCGGCATTTACTTTCGCACTTTCGACGGTGACAAGAGAAAGAGAGAGTGTTGCATTTTGAAGGCGTGAAAGTAATGCAAAGTCTGAGAAGATGAACAATCATGCGAGCGCGCGATGCAAAATAAGAAATATGAGAATCCATTCGATACTCCGTGTTACGATAATCCGACGTAGGCAGGAGAAGATTGCTAAGAATTCTTTCAAGATGTATTGTTCGTACGTTTATAACTGGATCGTATTCTAAGCATGATACAACCAATCATTTGTAACTATTTATTTGTCCTCTTATCCATAAAAAGCACACCTCCGTCGTATATCATAGAACATATTCCGGTAACAAATAAATTTAAATAACTATAAGTGCAACTGTAAACTATATATTTGTAAGAAGAATATATCTCAAATTATTTGTTAATTTAACTAGCGTTGATTGTTTTCTCCTCATTCTTGATACGATATCCTTATTCCGGAACCCTTTCAGAAAGCAATAACTACACGCGATATGATCCTGCAGGTTCGAGATACGCAAATAGATTTACCTCGATTCGAAAGTGATTAAAGTTGCTACCTCCTTACCCGCATCGCATCCCAAATTACCGAAACTTTGACCTTGTGCTTTAGCAGACTCAACAACCACATAATCGTTTCGTACTGCCTCCGGCTGTGATCTCAGCTTTGTAGGCAGTCGAGTGCCCAATTCGCCCTTTCTAACTTGCATTGCGTGTCTGTTCAGATATTACAAGAAAAGTATAAAGAGAGTAGACATAAAGGAGTAGACATAATACTAGTACTAGTAATAATTAAACAATCTTAATAAGCTAGAGCAAATTTGCTTTTGCTCTTACTTTCATAATCAACGGTATGCAAAGTAAAACTTTTAATTTAGAATTAGATTTACTTTAACTTAGAATTAAATTAAATTCGTTCTGTATAGAAAATATATTACCATCTTATTAATAAAATCTTTGTGTTTATCAAACTTTCTCTTTATCTTGCGTAGAAAAACGTGGATATGTCGTATACTTTTTCAGTTATCTACCGTCATCTTCGTAATGATATCTATGGTCGTAGAAGATGTACGTGCTTTGCTCACGCCAGAATTCTACCTTCCAAATTCGAGGTAAGTTGCCTAGTTCTTATATATATAAGGAGTCCCAAAATTTAATCATATTAATAATAAGATTTAAAAGATATAACGGTATTTTCAATGTAAAAATGTAAATAATTATTGAGTTCCAAATTAATTAAAAATTAAAAAATTTTGACAAATTAAGATTTTAAAGTATAGAAGAATAGTAAAAGAATAGTAAAAGGAATGATAAAAAGGATAGTAAAGGAATAATAAAATTTTATTTTTCGAAAAATTGTATTTTAATGAAGTTTTACCTTATGATTTATTCATAAAGATATTTTATAAAGAATTAGATATTTAGAGGAACACCTGTAAATTATCGTGTTTCATTAAACCTTATTCAAATAAATCAAAGAAATAATATAATCAAGTGATCCTCTTTTTGAGACATCCTGTACATAAAAGCTTTCTGTAAATATTTCTGTACGAATACGCCACGTGTGTACGCAGGTTTCCCTAAAAAGCTCCACATGTTCCACAAACATATCCACTTGTACTTATGTACGAATGTGCTTTCTCTCTTTCTCTGCTAGAAAACCGGTAGTCACGCACTATTTTACGACTTTCGCCGAGCCTCTGAATTAACCCGAGCTTTTCTAGGTGCAAGGATGGTCCTTTATGCATCCTGTCCAGAAATGAAGTGCATTCCTTCTATCTACGACGAAGGTTATAGTGTCGTTAAACCACCATCGCTGATATTACTCTGAAATCCCTCTTACGGTTTCTAGCAGAGTAACTTAGTACGGTTTTCGCAAAAATAATTTAGTAAAAGATCTACCATGATTGTTAAACTTATATACAAAAATATGAAACGTATCATCATTGTGTTTCTTTAGCGTAAATTATTTTGTCCGAGCAATAAGGCTCACATATAGATTGTTAAATTAGGAGAATATTGAACGGCCTATTTAGTGACGAATCTGTTAGTTAACACAGATTTATTATTAGCCCACGTGTACACTTGATCATTAAAATAATAATTAATAGATACAAGTAAATCACAGACAATAAACGGATACCTACTCGCGTGCGATTATAACAGCTGCAACATTATTTAATTACCAAAAACGACACGGCCTTAGCGAATTCGAAATGCGCGTAGGGCGCAGCAGGAGCGGAGCTAATTGTGAGCATTTATCTAATGTGAAGGATTTACAGACGATGTAAATTTATTCGCGAGACCCTCGCTTAATTACGCAGATTCCAAAGCATCTCCCGCGGCAGCCCCTCACGCTACGTAAGGCGCGCACTGGGAAAAACAGAAATTAGTCTCGTATTACGGGCCGCCGAGATATTTGCCGTAAGTAACGTTCTTGCAGAAATGATCCTGCTATCATTATCATTTACGGCACGCTCTTTACGATCCATCATTAAATATATCCTAGAGCGTGGAAATTCTTTTCACGGGCCGCGTTTTAGATGTATACGGAATAGAGCTTCGTGTTTGCACTCTGTTTACGAGCGCAGCTTTGAACGATAAACGTCACGAAATTATTCGTGAAAAGGCGGCGAGGAACCACCGCGTCGGAACTGCCGGACTCGCGGGCGCCGTGTCCTCCCGCTCTTTTTCTGGATGAAATATCGGCGCGGCGATAAATCGCACGCCGTTCAAGCCTTCGGAGTGCGAGTCGCGTAATGTAGCAGAACGGAGCCGAAAAATTGTTGCCGCAATGTCGCAACCGGTGCAATCCGGGCCGGCAAGTCGTACACCGTAATGTGTTAATGACAACGGGATGAAAACGACTCGTCTAGCAACGATGAATCATCTAAAAATACGAGGAGCTTCGTCTATTTAATTACGATATCGCAATCTACCCGGACATGCCGCGTAGCCGGCTTTTTCTTCCTGCGAAAAAGAAAAGGAGAAAAGAGAAGAAAAGCCCGCGTCAAAATCTCTTTACTTGAATTTTATATCGGTAGTTAACGCAACTGATATATGTGTATAACGCTTATATAAAGCCATACGTCCTGCTGTTTTTTTTCTTTTTTTTTAAACGGCTGTCTGCCTTAAGCTCGCCTGGCTCATTCGGAGTTTTATGTTGGGGCGCAGACCCGCTATTTACGATAGCCATTTCGCAGCATCGGATGCTGTGTTTTTCTTCTCTGGTCATAGTCAAACGAATCAGCACTTACCGTCAATATTTTTGAGCATCTCGGTCGGTCGATCTCAGCTAACTTTTTATCGCGTCGCCGATCTCGGACTTTGATAGCTGCGCGCGACTGCAACGATGGTGCGAAGCCGCAGTTCTGGTTGCAGCATTGTAGGATACCGTCGATACGACGACGACGCGAGTAGAAAGTGCCGTTTTATTGGTTGTTTTGAAAACGGTAAAACACACCGTAAACACGTCGTCGCTGGAATCGTAAACAATTGAAACGGCACACATACGAAAGTTACAGGATTAAACGGCAGTCGGATTATCGATTAGAATTTATACGGCCGTAGAATGTCATATCAGACGGCTACGGCAAGATGATGCACCGCTCCTCGTTTTATAAAAACAATGCAACAAGCGCAATAATTAGTCACGAGAAAGCGCTTCGCGGATTTTTTTTTTGCAATCTCTATCAATTTTACACAAATTGACGTTAATATTCTGACCGTTAATTGTCATTCCATAACGTGAGAATTTATTTAATGGGCGGTCTTTCATCGATGTGTACGTACATCAGCAAATTGCAAATTCTTGCTGGCGTCATGTCTTGTCGACGCACCGATTAAAGATAAGCCGAGTACCTAACCAGAATCCGGCAGGACCCTACATTTATCCTGCTCTGTATGCGGTAACCGTCCACGAAGGGCATGCTTTATCACATTCAGCAGACAATCATCGGAATGCTAATCTTCCATATCCCTTATTCGTAAAATTAATGATCTGTTAATGACTAATGTAATGATTTGATTTATACATTACCTAGATGAATACAAATTTATTCGTACAGATCATGAAAGCAACGTTTGGTTGAAAATATATATAAAATGATGTTATTGCAATCTCTCTCTCTCTC